GCAACAACAACAACAACAACAACAACAACAACAACAACAACAACAACAACAACAACAACAACAACAACAACAACAACAACAACAACAACAACAACAACAACAACAACAACAACAGCAGCAGCAGCAGCAGCAGCAGCAGCAGCAGCAGCAGCAGCAGCAGCAGCAACAACAATTACCGACGTTTTGAGTTTGTCATATTTTTACCTTTCTGCTACTTTCTGGAGGCAACGGCAACATACTGACTTCAATCGGACTTTTAAATCCATTTTTGTTTTCAGATACGGCGGAGCTGCATAATAAAAAATAAATTAATTAAGCAGCCACAAAAACCTTTTCTAGTTAGCAGAAGAGAAAATATTACAGAAACAAAATTAAATCCGACAACAGCATAGTATGGAGGGAAAGAACCACAGCCTCCGACGACACATGCGTTTAAATTATTTAGTTTTAGAAATGAAATCTCATTTGAAAAAGCCTCACCTTGACCGTGTCTCTCTTTTCCGCCGTTTCTGTCAAAAAATAATATCAATGTCACAGTTAAAATAACGACAGCAGAAATTTCCCCCAAGACTTCATGGTCTTACTTCGACAAGCATTACTTTCCGCCCTTCAGGAATGTATCTCACGGACGGCCGAAAGCGTCCTGGGATGTCTCATTCGTTCTCCTGTTCCGGCCTGTTTACATGGAGGTGAGTTACCCGGCATTTGCTGCATAATTGCTGGATAACACAGAAATGGCGCCAAAACACAAAAAGATTTTAAGTCGTTTGAAACGTTAAAATACATTACAAAATGTCGTGAAAATATAAAATAAGCGCCGAGAAATTATATTATATTTCAAATGCAAAGCACAAACAATTGTACTAGACTTGGATCAAGTCCATCTCTCTAGAGTCCTTATCCCATACGTGTGTTAAAAGCGGCTTTCTGATTGGTTTAGAGCAGGTGAGCTTGTCGTCGAGCTCACCTGCTTTTTGCCGAACTCACCTGCTTTTCGCCCGAACTCACCCGCTAAACTGCTTACGTTGCAATAACAATATTAAACAAATATGGCGGACAAGATTTAGCCGATAAACCTAAACTTTAAAGAACTTTTTTCGGTGACTAACATACTGAGACTGAAGAAAAACCAAAGAAAAAATGCAGTAAAGGTAATGTAGACGTAGCTAAAGAAGTATTTTCTTGCCCAGTGATTTTTTTGGCCGGGAAAATGTTCACAAAACATCGACGAATATATCGCGAAGAGCTACAAATGTGTGTATGGCTCGGTGTATGGGATAAAAACCAAACGTACTTGCAGGTTTGGTGAGTCCGGGATTGGACGCACCTCGGGTAGCTGGAAGTTTCCCGAACTCACCTCGCTTCGCTCGGTAAGTTCGGGAAACTTCCAGCCACCCTCGGTGCGTCCAATCCCGGACTCACCTCCCTGCAAGTACGTTTGTTATAGAGTCCCGAAGCAACGAGATCAGGGCCCTGGACGAGATCAAGCGCGGCGCGCGAGCTTTCCCGCGTTAAGGCCATTTTCCATTGCAGTCGCTTTGCCTGCGCGGGCGGAACGAACATTACTCAACTTTCTCTGTAGTTGTCGAACTTATGCGTTTTTTGTCCGTCTGAATGCTCGCGGACACGCCATCATGGCGATAAAATATCTTTCACAGAACCGTCTGACAAAATGCCCGATGACGTTGAGTTTGGGTCGGACATATGTCCGATGACCTTCAGTTCAGTTTTGACTCGGAAATAAGTCTGAATGACACAAATAAATGTCAGCACAATGTATTAATTCTGAACGGTAAATGTTGTGAAGATATTGTTGTGAAGATATTAAATTTTTTGTTTCTTTCATACTTATTCCCAAACCAAAATTAACTTGCTTTCCAGAATAGCAGTATGTTAACTGATAGACTCTGTTCTCGATGTTGTCCGTAAAGAATCAGAAAGCTAGCTGTGATTGCTTGCAAGGTTTTCAACCAACACATTCTCTTGGAGGGGGCACTGGCTCTGGAATGGGCACCCTACTTATTTCAAAAATCCGTGAAGAGTACATTTTGATTTACGTTGGACAAAGCTACAGCTTGGTTGGACACCAATACACTCGGGTCGGACAAACAGTAAACCCAAGTTTCACTTAGCTCGGACAGAATGTCCGGTGGTTTCCTTTCTACGTTGGACAATTTCACGAATGGGTCGGACAATGTCCGTGACCGACCGATATTTTAAGGCCTGGATGGGCGATGAAAGTAGAACTACATTCAACTTTCTTGGCTGATTTTTCACGCGATTAAAATTGGTCGCTCCACCCGCGCGGGCAAAGAGACCGCAATGGAAAATTGCCTTTATATTATAATGCATCTCGCGCGCCGCTTGAAGTGAAATTCGCTTACGTCGTTGTCTTTATATACGCTTGTTTGTTTACGACCTGACGTCAAAACACGTTCCTATAACAAATGAGTCATCCGCTGCACAAACAAGCTACCAATAGTCAATATGCATGGTTATGCACTGTTAACGGCAGCTTTTTCACTTTTCTACTCTGGTAACTGCAGGTTGACCACTACGTCCACACGAGATAGAGAAACACATATTGGTTACGCCATATTGACTAGAGAACCTCGGTAGGTATTGCGCTAATGAATATCCTGGTGATAAGATCAAAAGCTTTGTATGTTGTTAGTTATCAGTGAAAGTTTGAATTCCATTTTTTAAAGGAGAATTCTTTTGTTCAAATTCTAGATGGCAACGAGCAAGATTTCTGAAAGTTGTATGGTTATTTGTCTTCTTGCTTTAACCAGTGTGATCTATGTCAACAACTCAGGTATTGCAGAGGTTCGATGGCGCAATCCTCAGATCAAGCGCCTTGATCAAGCGCCTTGACAACAAAAATATAAGCAGTACTTCGACGTTTAGAGCGAAGACCCCTCGTTGGGGTAACTAACTGTAATACGGTATTGCCTTCGATGCATAAACACATTTATTATATAAACATAAGTGTTATATAGAGTTTTTGGCCACTGAGAAAAATCGTATTTAAACACACGTAAAAAATACGATATTTTTACGTGTGAAAATATCATTTCTTGTAAAACGCATTGCCACGGACGTTTTATTGTTTGTCACTGAATTTTGTTTATATAATAAACAGAAAAATACATGGGTGCTTGGAAATACCAGATTTATTTCTCGTGTTGAACATGATATCTCACTCGTTCGCTGCGCTCACTCGTGAGATATCATGTTCAACACTCGAAATAAATCTGGTATTTCCGCGCACCCATGTATTATTCTCTATGTATTCCTTATCCCTATATTTATAAGTGCGCATGCTTCTAAAGCATGACGTCACTATTACGTCATTACACTAACTTCCCGACAAAGGGCCTTCGCAGGATATGTTGAAGCTCTGCTTATATTTTCCAGGTGGTTGTATCTCTCGCACACCGCAACTGTTCGCACCAAAATGCCCTCCTCGCTGCCCCACCCATCTCGGCGGCACTGTTATCAAGTAACAAGATCCTACCCTCGAAGCGATTAGGGCTAGGATTAGAATTAACCAAGTAACTTAACTAACGGCTGCCCTAATGACCCCCGTTATGCACTGCTAATGACCATGCATATAATGGTTATTTTACACAATAGTTGAGAATTACACAGTTGAGAAATGAGTCACAGGCCCAAATATTTTGACGAAATAACGTCTCTATTTTCGGCAAGTTTTCCGACGGCAAACTGTCCGTTCGGCAAAATGTCTGTTCGGCAAAATGTCCGGGTACCAGTCGGCTGATGACGTAAACGCAAGATTGAGCACTTTCTGGATGGGTGTATTGTGAATGGCTATTTATCCTCACCTTTTTCGAGGGACACCAAACAAGATAAGCTGTTGAAATGAACATATCCTGCCAGTCTTGACACACTTCATTGTAGTCATAAATTTCGTGGAAATTAATTTTTGTCATTTTTTCATCAACACTGTTTTCATTGAAGCTGTCAAGTTTTTCTTTCCAGCGACTGGCATGTCTCTCTGGAAGGCTCGGTGATATCGGCGTGGTGTGGGAAGCCTGAGCTCTAAACGACGACAGACATTAAAGATAAACACTGAACTCAAAATAGAACTGGATCATCATTCAAACAATGGGCTCAAAAATAGAACTGGATTATCATTCAAACACTGGGCTCAAAAGGTAGAACTGGATTATCATTTTAGCACTGACCTGAAACATACAACTAGATTAATATTCTAACACTGATCTCAAAATTGAACTGGATTGTCATTAAACACTGAACTCGAATATTTAACTGCATAGGCGTACCGGGCGGGGGGGCGGGGGGGGGCGGTAGCCCCCCCAGTTTTTTGGGCAGTCGGGCAATATTCGATCAACAGTCGGGCAATTTTGGCTTGCAATAAAAAAATTGGGACAAATTCTGTCAATTTTGTCTAAAATTAAGTCAATTTTGTCTAAAATTAAAAAATGGGACAAATTCTGTCAATTTTGTCTAAAATTAAGTCAATTTTGTCTAAAATTAAGTCAATTTTTTGGCTAATTTTGCGATTTTTCGAAAATTTGTGTTATGTTCCGAAAAAAATTGCTTGTCCGGAAAAATTTTTTGACCCCTAAAATGGTACACTGACCGAAATTTTTTTGGCGACGGGGGGGGGTGGCAACCTCGTTCCCAGGCTCTTACCTTCGCACGCCCCAAGCTGCGGAAAGACCCTGGTGCCGGCTGGTCACGTGGCTCCCAGATTTTGGGTGCTAAAATAAATTGCTATTCAGGGAGGGGTGGTAGAAATGATTTGTACGTATTGAAATTGTTTCTGAATTTGTAAAATAGTAAAATTCTAACTGTACGAGACAATAATAAAAGATTTTTTCTTGACGAAATGTTAAAACAACAGATTAATCATGTGTTGCAGCCGAAAGAGTATCATATTACTCTCAAGGATTACAAATATCTCATATTTCACTGTCACTATATCGGCTTAGCAAAAGCACGCCAAAGAAATTTAACAAAAAGATCTCCTGGATCAACTGAAAATAGTTCTCGTTTTCGATTATATAATGGTGTACAAGATCAGATACATTGTAAGAATCTCTTCAACAAAACAAATTAAAGAATTTTGAATAACACGGAGTTGATTCATGGCGAGAGACTGCCACATGTTGATGATTTTCCTTATTTGATCTGCCGATCGAGTGCCGTCCTTGTGAACGACGTTCAAGAATGTAATTTCCGAAACACAGAAATCATTAGTAAAAGATTCACGATCCAAGCGATGCCCTGAAGTTTTTCTATCCGTTGCCAGATCTTCGACAAATGTTGCTGCAGTTGAAAGTCGAAGGCGCAGTTTGGCTTTTACACTGACTTTGTCAATGTGTCCTCCTCGAGTGATGAAACTAGATCTGCTACACCTTTACCCATGTCAACAGAAGTAAGTCAATTGTTTATGAATATCATCTACCAATATACTTTACCGCAATTAATAATATAGTCATCCGTATACGTATGTTAGTAATCCCCATTTAAACCCAAAATGTACAATCCAATTGTGATTTCTCCATGGAATATTTTTTGCGAATATTTATAGAATGGCAGATGCGCGAAGGCCACTTGATTTCAGTCGAGATATTTGATCTTGTATCAGTGAATTCAAGGGAGACACAACTATAACAATACACGAACCGTACTGAGTAGATATCTCAAATGATTTCCATGGAGAAAGAAAATCGACTTGTTTATTAAATATAATCCCTTGCAAACATCAACAATGGGTCAGATGAAAATCAGAGACTTTCCATATATTAAGCGTTGGCAGGATATAAATTATAAATAACATCTTTTGTCGAATAAATAATATATGTTTAAGTACATTTAAGAGTTTGTTAAGGCCCGTTTACACGGGAAAATTGAATGTCAAAGATATTTTGCTCGTGTAGATGATAAATTTGTGGCAAATTTATTGTGACAAATGCATTTAATTTGAACAAAAGCTAGCAAGCTAGCATGCTAGCTTTTGATCAAATGCATTTGATCAAATAAAATTTGTCAAAATAAAATTTGCTCGTGTGCTTTACGACAGTATTATTCGAAAGCCCTGCACAGTTGTTTTGATGCAGGACCCAAGAACACGGAGATCTGTATGTTTAAATTGCAACTCTTGTCGAAGTTTGAACACAATGTTATCAATCGTGTAATTTAACCTGGCGAAATTGAATAAATAAATAAATACTTTCCAAACAAAGAACTTGCTTAGTTGGTTCGGCTTCAGTACAGTATGTTGTTATGAAATGCGCTATTTAGAACAACGAATTCCAAACAAGCAAGAAATGCATTGAAACTCGAGCATCCTCGAGCATCTTTATCAACTTTGCTTCTATGGCCTGGCAGCATGTGAATGACAAAAAGAACACAAACGCGCGCATAATTGTCAATTTGACAAGAAGTATTCCTCGAAGTATTCAATACAAATTATACAATGACAAATTGCGATATAAAGTGCTCTCAAATTACACTTTTTGCAATTCAAACCAATACGTCCGCTCCTTGCCAACGAATTTTACTATTGCAAAGTGGAAGCATTGTAATTTAGATTTGTCCATCCCTCCCTTGGTAATTTAATATCCTGGGGCCGGTTGTATAAAACTCTTAATTACTTTTTAATCACTATTTTGTAGTTAAATAGTGATTAACTGTCAAATACGCGCTTCTTATTGGATGACGTTTCCACTAACTATAGTTAACTTTAATCACTTTTTTATACAACCGGCCCCTGGGAGCCACGTGACCAGCCGGCACCAGGGTCTTTCCGCAGCTTGGGGCGTGCGAAGGTAAGAGCCTGGGAACGAGGTTGGGGGGGTGGGAGGTCGCCAAAATAATTTTTCCGGAAAAATTTTTTTGATACTAGTCGGGCAGAATTCGAAAAGTCGGGCAATCAACCTCGTTCCCAGGGTCTTTCTTAGAACGGCGCGAGGCGAAGGAAAGACCCTGGTTTCGGCTGGTCACGTGTCACCCAGATTCTGGGTGATAAATTAAAATGATACTATGGGCAGGGTGGGAGAGGAGCGTGTTTGTCGCGTTTGTAACAATATTTGCAATTTTGTGTGATGAAATTTAAATTTGCAACAAGAAATAGTGAAGAGAACTGCAATTAAAAATTAATATTTATCGTGATGTGACTTTCTGCTCTATAATCTAGTGTTGAGTTACAATTCAAGCAAGTTGGATCAGATTTCAACTTACAAAGAAAGCACGCCTGGGCGGCGTGGCAATATTAAGCCTACAAGAAAATTCATATCGCTAGACCGACCAATGTGGTTTATATTTTATATTTAACTGTTAGTATTATAGTATATCCTGATACTCGGACCAAAAGAATATATTTATTGATGAGATGTGGAATTGGAACGAAATAGCGAGATCTTTTGATTTCCGAAATATCGCCAAGACGCCAACTGTATCGAGATTGTTGATTATATTAAAAGGCCTTATCACAAAACTTAAATCCCGTCAAAAGACTATAAAATTTCCTGCAAGATCTCAACGATCATGGTATATGTCAAAGTGTAGCTGTCTGTTGAAAATCTACGGTATTTAATAAGTAAAGTCATACATCAAAGATAAGTCAAACGACAATATATTTGTCTTACTGTTTACTACTGTGTTTATACCACATTTATAAATTTTATAAACAGCTTTCGTTTTGACACAAGCTTTAATTTTCTGCTTTATATATATTCTTAATAATATAAGTGAAATTTAAATTTTTTGCTTTGTGAAATAGAATACCGTTATTTTTTAATGGACAGCTTGTATCGTCTCTATCATATCCAGGATTGCTTGTGTGCAAATAGCCTACATGTATCACTATATATGCCACTATCAAATAAATATAGAAATATGAATGAACTTATTGAACTAGAAATAAACAGATGATTGAGACACAATGAAAACTGTTAGTAGCCTTAGTAGAAGTAGAAAACTCGAAAATTTATGTGTATTCGTATGGCAGTCTGTGCGCGCCTGACACTGTAAATTTCAAAATTTGTGATGTAGATTATAGCCTAGTTGTATGCATATTAGGAAAACATTATCTGACCAAGAAAAAGGCTAAAGCCTTACTATAATTAATGAATACGAATTATGTACTAAATCCAAAATCACTGACAGACATTTCTCTGTTTGGCTAGTATCAAATGTTTACATTTGCTGATATTGGGCTCTCTCTAGTCCAAGACAATACAATACAATACTGTTTCTTTTAAAAATCTTATAAACAAGACGTGCAAAGCACAGCAATGTTTACAAAAAAGGACAAATCTAATGCTTGTTTTAAAAACATTAGATATGTAGAAATGGTGACCACTGAAAGGCCCATAAACGTTTGTTATAAAACCGCGCTCGAGAGTGAAGAGAGTATTGAATAAAACAACACGAGAGAGCACTGCGAGTAACGATTTGCTTGGTTTCTTGACTTGACTGTTGGTAAAAATGTAAGAATGTTCTTGTAAATTCAATGCAAATAAAATAAACAAAAATTAGCAAGTATTTTGAACTTACTGCTAAGGTAGTTCGCAAAATTTATGTTTTTAACTGTTTGTAATTTGATACTTTCACCACACACCCCTCGGGCAATCAATTTTGGACGAGGCACGTGACCAGCCGATACCAGGGTCTTTCCTAAAGACCCTGGGAACGAGGTTGTCGGGCAATTTTCTTTCCGCCCCCCTAATTTTTTCCTTCCGGCACGCCCATGTTTAACTGGATCATGATTATAACACTGGTCTCAATAATAAAGCTGTATCGTCATTCTAGCATTCATCTCAATAATAGAACTGGATAATTTTTTCTAACATTGATTAGAACTGGATATCATATATTTAACTGGACTGGGTTATCATTCTAGGGCTGAGCTCAAAACATTCAACACTGAATTAAATTAAATTGGAACTGGATATGGATTATAATTATTATTCTGATCTCAAATATCATTCTAGCACTGAACTCAAATATTTAACTGGATTGTCATTCTAACAATAATCTCAAAAATCTTGGATTGATACTGAAGCTACGTTTACACACAACAATTAATCAGGCCGATTACAGGTTTTGCCGAATGTTAATGACAAATGTTGTCAGTTGACAATTATGTCGTCAGATGACCAGACTGATGACGCTGACAGCAATATTTTTCAAATATTGTTTACTTAATAAAATGGAATCAGCCCAATTAATTATTGTGGTAAACGTACCGCTTAAGCGAGATGATGCAGCGATATGTCAACTCACCTTGTTGATTGATGAGGCATAGAGCTATGCAACTGTTTGTCTTTCTCAACTTCATTATCAAATACATGAACTTGGTCGCTGCTGTTATATGGAGTGACCAGATCTTCTGTCATGTCAATGATCTTTAACGTCGGCAGTGAGCAACCTAGGCGGATATTAGTTGGAGGGCATTGTAGACAGAAATTATCGAGTGGAAATTCTCTCTATATATTATATTTATTAGACCTCAATAACCAGCCTGAACAGAAGCAAAAAATGCAACTTTAGGTCCCTGGCAGGAATCGAACCTGCCACCCTGCGACTCCGGTGCAGCGCTCTAACCAACTGAGCTACAAAGACCAGTTGTCAAGCTCTAACCACAAGTTCATGTATACAATATATAGATGATTTTTAGATAATAGATTTGAGTCTATAGATAATAGAATATTATTTCAAAATCCTAATTTCAATCATGCGGTCATAATTAATCCAACAAGCATTTAAATTTCTGAGGGAGTGCAAATTTTTCTAGCTGGGGTGGGAAAACTTTCTGGAGGGCGTGCAAAACCTATGGGGGTGCGCACCCCACCCCTGCATCCGATGAAGACAATTCGGATTTTGCCATATGTAATTTACATTTATTTACTATTAATTAATTACATTTTCGAAATCTCAGGTGCGTAATTTCGAAACTATTCAGTATTAAAGGATTAGCATGTCAGGTGTAATAAAATTATTAAATGGCGATTATCTCAAAAAGCTCATTTGAATAACAAAGTTTATGAACCAATTTCTTATATATGCTACTCCATCGAATATCTCTATTAATATTAAAGCAAAATATATGAATTAGAATAAAATACACCCAACTTACTTTCCATTACTTGCCGTTTCTTATCGTCAAATCTTTCAGCGCTTTGTTTGTTGACATTTTGCTCTTGTCTGATACCATTTCGCTGCCTGACCGCTTCGCGAACGCGACGAATATTACTTTGCCAACATTCGGGATGTTGACAAAGCTGATCTTTGCACGTTTCGCCATTATTTGCCACATATAACATCGTCCTTGCTTGCTACGTTTCTTATTTTCCCTTAAACTCTTTAAATCGTGAGATTATAAGGGTTTTTAAGCCATAAAGCGGCGAGTAAACATGACTTTTGCAGTTTGTTGCTCTTTTGCCTCTAATCCATGACGTCATGGCAACAGAATGGCGTATACTGTTGTCTTGACAACGGGCTCCTTATTTGCACAGCAAACCCAAACAGAAAACTCGTAACTTGCATGTTTTATTTTTAATTTATTTTGTAATGTTAAAAATGGATCTTATTTCTTATAGCGACACCGGAAAGACTTTTATGCTGTTGTTTATTACGACAGTTTAGCTGGTACAGTCAGATTTTTCTAATTTTTCGGAGTATTTCGGTTATTTTATTTTTGAACTCTATAAAACGGCAATAAATCAATAAAGATTTTGCGGTTAACCAACAACTTTCTTAGCCTAATATATCGCCAAATACCCTTAATAAATTAAACATGAAAGTTTCACGTGGGAAATGAATCAGTTAGACGACAATATTATCTCAGCGACTGTTCATCGTTACATGCAAATGACGGTATGCGGGCAATTCAGGCTGTTGGCTGTTGAGCCCGTTTTTAAGGTTAATATTCAATATGGCGGTCAATTTGCCACGACAACAAAAACATTGAAGTTTTTTACAAATATTTCGGGACCGTTATTCTGTATGATGGCATAAAAAAGTTCCAACAAACTCTAGACAATGAGCACGAGAGGAAAAGTTCCAGAACGCGAGTTTATTACTGTCGCGATCCCAGGAAATTATGACAATGATAAAAATAGACGAGGCAAAGTCTCTTTGTGGCGGGTATGTTCGTTTGTGTTTTGCTTTGTGGTGCTTCGGTATCGTTACATTCTATCATGGAAACGTTTCTGTACAGTCGTAATGTTGAATTAGTCCCTGATTGCAACACATGACTCATAATTCTCTTATAAAATCTTTAAATTAAGTACTTTAAAAGATATAATATATTAAAATTAAAGCATTTAAAGATTAAATTGATAATTACTAATAACGTAGCTAAGTATTAGGCCAATGGAACTGTAGATTCTGTTTACCGTCCGAGAATTTAAAAAATCTGATGCGGTTTTTTTTCATTATTCATTTTTCATTATTTTTGTTATTGTCTATTTTCCGACCAAAAATGATCCTTAAATCGTTTTCTTTTGATTTCGACCATCGACACTTTTGTCCAGCATTCTTTTATCATTTTTGGGCTTTCCTTTGCTGAAAATTTCTTTGTCACGCCATTGTTTTCGAATTTGCACATGTCAGACTTGCGAATTTCCGAGTGTACCGAACAAATGCTGACTGATCCATCATACATCAGCGATGTACTGCTTTTTATATCGAAGATTTGATGATTTGATGTATATTTGAAAGTTTCAATGCGTAGAATTAAAAATAATGAAAATAATTCAGAATAATGAAAAATTCTTGCGGTAGTTTCAAGCACATGCGGGCGGTGGACGGTAAACAGAATCTACAGTTCCATTGGCCTAATGCCAAGATGCATTCCATGTTTCACATATTAGCAAGCTTAAGTAAGCAACATTTTTGACAACATGTATGCCAAATGGCAGTCATTCGAGCAATATTATAAGGATATAAATGGCGAGTGATGCAGACAGCCACTCTTATTTGAAAGCATGATGATGAACGTGAAATCGGGGTGCGATAACTGGCGTACTTATGTACCAGAGGTACGCCAATATTACTATCTCTGGTACTTCTTTGTTTTCGGATGAGTTCCACGTAGGTACGCGAAACTCTCACATTTTGCTGGACCGGTACCCATACGAGCTACGACCGTACCAAACTAAATGTATTCAAACCGTAATCTTTGGCCACTATTTGTTGCATATTAGTTTCTCTTCCCCCGCCCGCATGGCTTTTTAGGCAGCAGCCTCAATAGCCATTATTACCACTTTCGAGCATAATTATAATTATACAAAAAAGATCGTCACAACTGTCACAAACCAAATTTGCACACCATTTGCAAAGTACGATTTCTTTCCTGCCTCGGATGCTTTTTTGAAGCTCAAATAGCAACACATTACTTTACATTTCAATATCATACCAGAAATCACGAGCACACACAAAACACAAAAAGCGACACTCTACATAATGGTAATGGATGCTCGCATCTACTTTGGGGACAGCTAGCCCCGAATGCATGAGAGACTAATATGCAACAAATAGTGGCCTGATTAAGCCGGTAGATGGGCATGTCTGACATGTGTCTGGGCATGAAAAATTATTGGACTGATGGGCCTAAGGCCTAAAAAAACTGTGGTTCTGGTTCCCGACCGACCCAATTTTTTTCTGCCGTCCCTATTATTTTTTCAATGTGATTGACCGTGCGACCCTATTTTCTCCGGATGATTGTGGGCTGCTACCAAAATGGTGTCTGTTGTTTTTTCTAATTATTGAAAAAAAATATTTTAAAAAAATATTATTTCCGACCTACCGACCCTAATTTTTTGCAATATGAAACCGAAACCACAGATTTTTTTTTAGGCCTAAGCCTATTAGGAATGAGTGGATTCTGTGTTTGTGTATGCAGTTGTTGTCCTTCTTGTTCTAACTTGTGGTTTCAGGTTACCATACTGAATAAATACCTTCATTTTAAAGACTAGGTACACCTTTAGTCAGGGAAGCTAGTAGGGGTGGGGGGGGAGGGGGTGCTCTGCCAGCTCTGGTGCCGAGTTGTGTCAGCCATGTGTGCCGCCCGCCCATCAACTTGCTTCACTACTGCAAAGTCTTGCTTGAATACTGTATTTGAATTGTAATTGTTGTTCACAGTTTGCTTTATAATCATCATGTTATTACTCAAATTACTGTCTGTTCTCATTTTGTCCTTCCCTGCCTTTAGTCTTTAAAATTGTGTACTAGCTCAAGTATGTGGCAATAATCATTACAAGTCTAAAAATCGTGCATTATCGGCACATTGGTAAGGTTTTCACTAGTTTCCATCTACCAAACTGACATTACGTAATTTGATCAATTTCTAAAGTTGTTTCTTTCTGGATTTTTTCATTAATTTGGTTAGGGTTAGAGTTAGGGTTGCGGTTAGGAGTCAGAGTAGGGGTAGGGTTTGGGTTAGTTACATAGCCATTTAACACCCCTTCCATCTTCTGAAAATGACGTCACGTCAATTTCACAGATGGAAACTAGTGCTAACCCATTGGTAAACTACATATTTGTGTGCTGTCCTTCATTTCAAGAAAGAGTACCGTAGCTGTCACCATCTATGACGTTTTGATTGATTTCTATCCAGTTTGCTGTTCATGTCAAAAACACATATCTCTTAAGCTCTCTGGGTATTAATGCTCAAAACTCTTCCTTTGAGAAGCAAAAATCATCTGGCATCAGATTGCATCAGATAGCATAAAATTATCTTATGTTTGTCATTCCACAATCATAATATAGTGCAGCGCATAGGGGTATATTGCGTCTTTGTAGACGAACAGGTAGCATCTTCAATTTGGGAATGAAAAACATTAGCTTCATTTAGGAATGAAAAATTGACTGCCTTTTGACAATTGAAGTAAAATTATAAAGTGGGGTTCATTAGTGGATTAATGATAATAATATATGCCTTGCATAAACCAAGCATGATGCACACATTACCATATGTACATTGTACTGTCTGGTTACGTTTTCTTCATAATTTTTCCAATCCAATTTTGTTATCTCGTAAAAAGATATCTTTCTTAAATTAATCTAGAGATGGAAGAGACTTACCTCATTTGAAAAGACCATAATCATCTGCTTCGCGCTTCTTCTCAGTATCGGCGTGTATAAATTCCACAATGACTTTCATTTCACTTATGCCGAGAAGCCTATCGACTCGAGCCAAGGGCATCAGCCTCACATTTTGCCGATACAGGCAGCTTTCGAAGACAATGAATTACTGCCTGCCAAACGTATAAAAAAGAAACCGAATTTAGTTGCCAAAAAAGGGCCACCTAAAAGGAAATTAGATTTAGGTTATAGTGAACGGCAGGATGAGTTGGATAGGAAAAAGAAAAAGAAGAAAGATGAAGAATCTGTTGAGATTGACAACGGTAACAAAATTGAAATTATAAGTCCAAACGAGAATGGGAGGCAAGGAAAAAGTGAAAAATCAAATGAAATTAAACCAATTCAAAGAAATCAAGCTCAAGAAGAAGAACAACAACAACAACAACAACAACAACAACAACAACAACAACAACAACAACAACAACAACAACAACAACAACAACAACAACAACAACAAGAACAACAACAACAACAACAACAACAACAACAACAACAACAACAACAACAACAACAACAACAACAACAACAACAACAACAGCAAATCATAAAGAATGAAAAAGAAAATGTTGGGAGCAAAGATGATAAACTAAATGTTCCTCCCGCATCTGAACACAATTCTCAGCAAAGGGCTGTAGTAGATGCATTTAAGCATGCGTGGAAGGGCTACAAGGCTCACGCGTGGGGCAAAGACGAGCTTCGGCCAATATCTCGAGGATACAGCACATGGTTCGACATTGGGTTAACGATGGTGGATTCGTTAGATACAATGTGGCTGATGGATTTGAAGGAGGAATTTAATGAGGCTCGGGATTGGGTCAAATCCTCGCTTCAGTTCGATAAAAATAAATATGTGAATTTATTTGAGGTGACAATTCGAGTTCTGGGTAGCCTTCTCAGTGCGTATAATTTGAGTGGTGATAAAGATTTCTTAACTAAGGCTGTAAGTAGAACCGTGCTGCCTATATTTTATTAGTTTGCGGGCCTGCAAATTAGTGCCGGCCATGGACATTGTCCAGTCAAATTTACATTTTGTTCAATCAAAGCTTTTTATGACCGGACATGTGATCGACCGATTTAGGCTGGTCAATTGATTGATTGAATTAGCTATTTCCCAATCGAGCAGAGGACTGGGTCTAGTCACTTGTTTGGAGGGACAAAAAATAAACAATATGCCGAATATGGCATCTAGGTAATTTTCCTACATTCCTAAAGTTATTTGCGCAGCTTGAAACGCAACAATTATAATATGACATCTTTTTTAATAATACATTTAGCTCGATCACTATAA